CGTCTTAAGTGAACATGGCGGGAGGCGGATGACGTTGAGGGAAAACGTGGAGGAAGAGGAGAGGGGGGGGAGGACAGACATCGATTCGACAGGGGCGACCTTTTTTTCATTCCCTGTTTTTTTGTCGGGACGGTCTCGTTTTGTTTTCTTGGAGGACTCCGGACAACGAAGACGCTTGGGCACGTTGGGCAGGAGACCCATAAGGAGGTGGAGGAGGAAGAGGAGAACGAGGGGTGGTGAGGAGGAGGATGAGCAGTAGTGAACAGGAGTTGGGACAATGGGGAGGACAAGCAGTATCGAAGAGGAGTTGGAGCAACGACGGGCAAAGAGGAGGACAAGTGATAGAAAGGAGGACGGGACAACGGGAAGGACGAGCAAGGTTGAAGAGGATTTTGGGCGACGATGGGCAACGAGGAGGATGAGCGATATAAGAGGACAAGCCATATCGAAGAGGAGGACGAGGGGCAACGAGATGCAGGAGGTGGAGGAGGATGAATGATATCAAGGAGGTGGAGGATGAATGATATCAAGGAGGTGGAGGAGGAGAAGGAGGAAGGGAGGCGAATGAGATGCGTACCTTCATTAACTCAATGCATGAATGATTGCAGTCGTGTATAAATGTTTTTTCGTTTTTGGATGTCCTGCAGTCGCGTTTCGGTTTATCAAAACTTTTTGCCATTTTTGCGGCGTGATGTTGTTGAATGATCGACTGATTGATTGATTGGTCGATTGACTGATTGATTGATGGTTGATTGGTGTTGGTTGGTTGATTGTTTGATCGATTGATTGATTGATTGATTGATTGATTGATTGGTTGATTGAATGATTGGCCGAGGGAACTGAATCGTCAATGCTCTTGTTCATTGAGGTGGGATTAACGGACCCCATGTGGGATGGCGAAATGCTACCCCTTTTTTTCCGGAGGGTACGATTTGTCAATGCCATCGTCAATGACGCCGTCAATGCCCCCCTTTTTTTCCACGCCTGCTGTTGGGAATGAAACTGCTGGCACTGTCATCTTTGTCATCTGATCTCGTGGAATTCCCAAGCCCACATGGGTGGTGAAATGCTTCCCGTTTTTAACCTTGCATTCTTTGGGGAAAGGAACTGTTGGCTTTGTTATCTTTGTCCCCGTGGCGGGTGGCGAAATGCTGCAGTCAATCAATCAATCAATTAATCGATCAATCATTCGACCAATCAACCAATCAATCAACCAACCAAATCGATTGATTGATTGATTGATTGATTGGTTGGTTGATTGTTTGACCGATTGATTGATTGATTGATTGATTGATTGATTGATTGATTGGTTGGTTGGTTGATTGAATGATTGGCTGAGGGAACTGAATCGTCAATGCTCATGTTCATTGAGGTGGGATTAACGGACCCCATGTGGGGTGGCGAAATGCTACCCCTACCGTCAATGACGTCGTCAATGCCCCTTTTTTTCCATGCCTGCTGTTGGGAACGGAACTGCTGGCACTGTCATCTTTGTCATTTGATCTCGTGGAATTCCCAAGCCCACAGGGGTGGTGAAATGCTGCCCGTTTTTAACCTTGCATTCTTTGGGGAAAGGAATTGTCGGCTTTGTTATCTTTGTCCCCGTGGCGGGTGGCGAAATGTTGCAGTCAATCAATCAATCAATTAATCAATCAATCATTCGACCAATCAACCAATCAATCAAACAACCAAATCGATCGATTGATTGATTGATTGATTGATTGATTGATTGAATGATCGATTGACTGATTGAATGGTTGATTGATTGATTGATTGATTGATTGAATGATTGATTGATTGATCGAATGATTGATTGGTTGGTCGAATGATTGATTGATTGACTGATTGCTTGATTGAGGTAGGGATAGGGGGAGGTAGAGAAAGAGGGGTGGGCGAGAGGGGGATGACCGACTCTAACAATGTCATGGTTGTTCAACTTGGTTTCCCGCTTTCTTTGCCTCCAGGATGACTAAGAACGGTACTGAGTCTGTGAAGAGGCGAGAAAAGGTTAACCGACCCCCCATTTTTCACCTCAATTTATAAAAAAAACATAAGGCCATCCCAAGCAAACTTCACACCAATCTATAGAGTGCACTTCTTACTAACACATTATTAAAAAAATACCAAAAAAAAAAAATTAAAAACACATAAAACAGCAACTCAAAAGTGCATTTTCAGGCAATTTTGCCAAAAAACAACTCCATCAAAATTTCAGGATTTTCAGGATGATTAACAGCACAAATTCTAATAACCCCGAAACCCTAATTTCAGGATCATTCATCGTTACCCAGGGCCGAAAAGTGGGGGTCCCCGTTAACCACTTGTGATGGAGAGCTCTGAGGAGGACGAGAACAGGCCTGGTGAGGTGATGGGAAACAAGACCACGGAAGTTGCTGCGTCCGGTTCGGGGGTGCGAGCGCGGCAGTCGACCATCGTCGACTGTGGGGCGGTTTTGACAAAGCATGAGGAGACTCAGCGGAAGATCGATGATTGGATGACGGCGCACTGCATCCCATTCCACATGATGAGGAGTGAGGAATGGGAGGCGATGGTGGAAGCGTTGAAGAATGCACCCCCGTCCTTCCAATATGCAAGGTTTGAGAAGGCACGAACGACACGGGTCGAAAGCAAGAGAGTGCGGGTTGCAGCGAGGATGGAGGAACTGAGGAGGGAGTGGCCCATCACCGGTTGCATGTTGCAACTGGACGGATGGACCGACCGGCGGACCAGGGCCACACATCAACGTGATGGTCTCTTTCCCCAGGGGCGCCGTGTTGTGGAAGAGTGTCTGCATGAGCAACAGTGACAAGGGTGCTGCGGCATATCACTCCATCTTGAGGAGTGCGATAGAGGAGATAGGGGAGGATGCTGTAGTTGGTGTCGTAATGGACAACGCTGCAGTTTGTGCGGCCGCGGGTCGCATGGTAGAGAGGGATTACCCACACATCTACTCCGTGCCTTGCGCAGCGCATTGCCTCGACCTCATGTTTGAGGCGTTCTCGAAGATTCCGTGGCTAGAAGAGGCCCTGCAGCGGGCGTTGGACCTCGCGAAATTTCTCGTGAACCACGGACGAGTGCGCGACTTGTTGCACGAGAAATCGAATGGCAAAGTTGTGGCAAGGCCAGGTGCAACCCGTTTTGCCACAAACTTCATCACGGTTGACAGCCTGCAGCAGCTGTACCTGCCTCTCCGGTCGTGTGTGACGGACCCAGCGTGGAAAAGCGGGATCGTGCAACCGGGTCAACGCCACTTGTTGAAGGCGGCGACGGATTCTATCCTCGACGACAGTTTCTGGGCGAGCATAGAAAAAGTGCAGGAGACGTCGAAAGAGTTGCTGGCCCTGTTGAAGTTGGTGGACAGCCCTGGTCCAACAATCAGCAAGGTGTACGGGCGACTCAACGTTGCGGTAGAGAAGTTAAGGGCGAGTGAATTCTTCACCGATACCGAGAAAGACGAGCTCGAGGAGATTGTCATGTGCCGCTGGAACACAATGAATTCGCCGCTGCATTGTGCGGCGATGTTTTTGGATCCGGAATACAAGACGACACAGCCGGAGAAGGACGCGGAGGTCTTAGATGGATTTTGGTTATGGGTGTATTCGTGGTGCAAGCCGTCAATGTACGTGGAGGTGGATGCGGAAGTGAACTGTTGGATTGAGGGCACAAGCAGGTTCAACTGCAAAGCGGCCAGGGCAGCAGCACGAAGTTCACAACCCACAAGATGGTGGAAGAAATGGTGCAGCGACATGCCGCACCTCAAGAAGCAGGCAGTTCGCCTGCTTGGTCAAAGCTCCTCCTCCTCTGCCTGCGAAAGAAATTGGAGCCTCTTTGAGCGGATCCACTCCAAGCCCAGAAATGGGCTGTCGGTGAAGAAGTTGAGCACACTAGTTTACAACAGATGGAACCACCATCTGTTGGCCCGCTTAGCAAAAAAGTCGGAAACCGGTGCTGGTGACATTCCATGGGAGGAGGATCGCGTACTCACGGAGGAGGAGCTTGCAGCAGATGCAAAAGAGCGGGTGGACGAGTGGCGAAACCGGCTGCGTGCAGCAAACGAAGCGCCTGAAGCGAACGGTGATGAAGATGACGACGACGATGAGGACAATGATGAACCGGTAGTCGAAAATGCTTTTGCGGTCGATTAAGACCAGCAAGAAGCACCAGGGCAGTTGCGGCGGTGGAGGCTGCGCAGCGATCTCCTTCGGCTCGAAGCAGAGCTCAACGATTCATGGAGGAAGACGACGCGGCCTTCCAAGTACCTTGCCAGGCAGCATCTCCGAGAGATGCAGCGGACGGCGAAGACYATGACGGCTGAGCACGCTGAGCAATATAGAGCTGCTCGTGCGAAGGCGACCGAACCTGCCACAAAAACGGCTAAGCRAGGGAGGGGGAGACCGYGRAAAGCCCCAGTGCAGCAAGTTGATGATGCAGCAGCCCAGAGGGCAACAAATGGAGAAGTGGAGGAGGGTGGTGGCAGCAGCTCCAATGCAGAAGGCACTGCACCAAAACGGGCGAGACATGGGCAAGGTAGACCGCGCAAGTCCCTTAAAGACATGGAGGAGGAGGAGGCAGCAGTGCGAATGGCAAGTGGCAGCAGGGGTGGTGGCAGTGCCACACGTGATGCGAGTGAAGAGGATGGGAGTGATAGCCCTGCGGACAGGGAGGACGCATATGCAGGCGAGGGCAGTGGTGATAGCCCTGTGGACAGGGAGGACTCAAGCACAGGCGAAGGAAGTGGTAGTAGCTCAGGGGAAGAGGATGAGTGTGATTCTGAAGATGAACCGCTGGCTGCAAAGGCCACAAAGAAACAGAGAACATCAGGCTAGAGAGAGAGAGAGAGAGAGAGAGAGAGAGAGAGAGAGAGAGATGATTAACGTGAGGTCTGAGATCCCGTCTCAGATCCGGTCCTGGCCAGATGTCAGATCTGTTGTTACTCAGATCGGAAAAACTTAATTTCAAATGAGTTAGACAGTCTGCAGTTTCTGTTTTGAAAACTTTTTAAACTTTTTTTATTTTTTTAAAACTATTTCTGATTTTTTCACTGTTTTATGTAGTCTCGTCGGGTTGGTCTGTTGAGAACTGATTTGAAGTGTTCTGTGAGCCTTTCTGATTGTCTACGACAGTCACGGATTAGAAGTTGTCAAGTTCTATGCACTGCATGCCAGCGTGTCCCTCAAACAAGGTAAGTCTCGTTCCCCATACTTCTCCCTTCCGAAGTGTGTCATCAGACACTCAACTGTTGTTGATTGTGTGGTTGTCATGTAGAATGTTTGTGTTCGTTGTGGTACATTGTCGGATGTGAGTCACCAATGGTGTGTGAGCAGAGAACACTGTGAACACAAATGTTGTGCTGGTTTTTTTTTTTTTTTTTTTTTTTTCCCGGTCCGGACATTTTCGGCTTCTGGGGCACCGGTCCGGACGGTCCTGGTCCGGTCCTGTCCGGTTGTCCGGTGCCTGTCCGGATTGCCGGACGTCTGGACCGGTCCAGACAAATGTCCGGGTGTCAGTCCAGACATGTCCGGGTCCGGGTCCGCGGTTGCCATGGTTTCAATGGAATGCTGAAATTTTGGTATATTGTCATTTGCATGGCTCATTTTCCTCGCGAGTCTTATTTGCTATTGTTATGATCCTGGCCAATTTCGAAGTCCACATTCATCAGATAGTACAATGCCGTCCAATTGCAGAATGAAATGAATGAACTTGAGAGGAGAGAGAGGGTAAGAAGAAGACGAAGAAAGAAAGAAGAAGAAGATGATGTACACCAGCATAGACAAATGATAAAGCTCTTCTTCTTCGACAACACTCTCCTCCTCCTTTACTACTCTCTTATTCACACAAGAAATTATAGTACAATGTTGAATGGCTGATCTAGAATCAATGTCCGAGTTCCGATTCTACTGCAGGTATCACTTGAGGTCCACCATAGCCATGGCCGCCTCCCTCACTCTTCACTGTCATAGGCCGAGGCTATGGCGGACTACTTGGGCCTTGCCCTGATGTACAAAGGACAATGCAAAGCAGCTATGGCTGCTCTAGCTCAGGCCGCCATGCCTGACTCTGCCTTGAAGCTTCTTGGTGTAGCTCTCCCCCAGCTGGGGTCTCCCTGCTGCAGCGCCCACCAAGGTGGTGAAGATGGCTGCCACCATAGCCAGGTACGTACCTCTGGCGCTCCCCCTTCCTCACGCTCTTCTTCCTCCTCCGTGTCCTTGCTCCTTCCCCAGCAGCGCTGCTCTTGCTAGCGCTGCTCCAGCCAGCGCTCCAACCAGTGTGTCGCCAAACTTGCATACCGACAATGAGGCTGGGCTCTTCGCCCGGCCTGGAGATATAGCGACCTGCTTGCCTCTTGGGCGGTGACTTCGAGGCCGCTCGGCCTTCCCAGCAACCGGTACCTCCTCCCTTTCGGAGGGAAAAATCATTGCAGACTCTGATATTGCTCTTACAGGTCCTAGACTCAGACTGGTTGGACTGGTACCCGCCTAGACCTAGCCTACAACAACTGGGCCTCCCAAAATGCCACTTTTGTCTTCTTCTGCTCGGCCTCCAGTACCCGCACATCTACCTCTTCAGGGTGTGGTACCGGCCTACCTGCTACTTGAGTGTTTTTCCCCTGCTGAAATCCTCAATGTCACGGCCACAAGTAAGTACCGGCCCTGAGGGCCCAACAAACGAACAAGTGCCCTTACGGGTCACACACACACTCAAGCCAACCAGCACTCAGACAGACATGCAGACCACATGCCCGGTTGGGCGATGTACATAATAACCGAGGATCGGCAATGTGATAAAAAGGACTGAATGGACAATGCGGTGCAAGTGAAATCTCAACAAGCAGTGTACATTCTGATACATACAAAATGGTGCTTTATAGCGCAGGGAAGACTTAGATACAAGTCCTGACCTGACCGAGACTGACCTCTATCACGTAGTGCAAGATAGCGTAGCAGAATGTTAGAGTATCAATGACTAGCCCAATCAATGTTGCAACGCAAACTAAACCTACATCATTCTCATCACAAGGTGTAAGGAGACCTGGCGCTATACACAGGAAGAAGGCGCCAGGCCCTGATCATGCACAGAAGAAGAGGGGAACAGACGAAGAGGAGGGTGAGAGATGGGAATGTCGTGAACACGAAGTCTTTGTCACAAGTCCCAAATAATCCCTCGTCAAAATGTCTGAAGCCCAAATGTCGAGTCTGGATCCAAATGTCACCAAGCTCGCTCTTTCTCTCGTAGTCTGCTGATGCAGTGAAGTCAGGTAGTGTTACATGCTGCACCTGCACACAAGGGCCATTTTCCAGGCCCTGCGTCCCTCAGGCTGAAAGCCTGAAATTCAGGCTTAAAGCCTGAAAACCAGGGCCTACAGGCCCTGTGACTTTTCAGCCCGAAAGCCTGAAAACAGGGGCCTACAGTCCCTGTGTCGTTTCAGACTAAAAATGGCAACAGCCTTTTTAGCCTGAAACGAAGGGCCATTTTCGGTCGTTCATCAGAACGACCGGCCCTGAAACTCAGGCACCGAACCAGGGTTTCGGGAAAAGCCTATTCTTAGCCTGTTCCCACGCCAGCCTCAAGCAACTGCTGCAGCGCCAGCCCCTGGCACACTTCGGCATTGGCAAGAGCAGCCTCCTCGGCCTGGCTCGCCCTTCAGGCAGGCCGAGGTAGTACATAGGGACTTCCCATGCACTTCACGGGTAGGCAGGTCTTCAGGATTTGGCAGCAGCACTCTGGAGGGAGCGCTGCAGGGTAGTAGTAGCGTTAGCTTTTAGTCTTCAGCGCTGGGCGCAGTAGGTAGCTGTAGTCTCCAGCGCTGGG